CGAAGGGTAGGCTATGAATGAATGCAACCAATGCAACCATAAGGCCTTGGAGCCCTTCCTAAAAATCTTGACTCGCGAAAAGGATGAGTATGCGGCCACCTCATTAAACGGAGGAGGGGAGCCAAAAAATTAGTAGGGGGAGTGTGCCATCAGAAATAGCTAATCCTTGTAGGCATCATAATGCAAACTTTGCTTGAAATCCGCAAATATCAACCTTCAATATCACGCATGTGCTAGCAAAAAGTTGAATTGGTGTAGTGGCAAGTGATGCTGACTACTATCACGCGCACGGTACATGGATCAAATCCTGGATTGTGCTAGGAGCCGTGCCTCCCATCTCTGAATGGGTAGATCTGGTATCTGATATGTCTGACACTATCGTGAACATCGGCTGACTCTCGCAACTCGCTGTACAAGTCAAATCCTATTCAGAATGTCACTACGATTATGCGGAGGGGATAGAATGCCTGGCGCATTCCGAAAACGGATAGAACACATTTTTCGAATACTTTATCCTCTAGTAGTTTGGGCCAGAAGAACGATTGCATTGTCTTTTTTTGCAGCTATTTTCAGAATGCTTTTTCAGACCTGCAGCTCTTTCGCCGTTCCCAAAGTACAAATGGAAATGGTATACGCCACCGGAGATTTGCATTCGGCTCTGATCTGAAAACGTTTTCTGGAGAACTTCTTTTGAACCGGCATTCTCGATTGTTTCATCACATTTAAGACCCGTCAGTGGATATGAATATTTAATAAATATAAAGTCTCTGCATCTACTAACTCTGTACTGTCATGTTATTGTTGACGTCTCCTTACAATTACATTTACTTACCTAGTGATCGCTCACTTTTGGATACGCCACATACTGAACCTCCACTTGGTATTGTGGATATTTAGGAAGGAGTTCTAGTCTGAGAGCCAGCGTTTTCGTGTTTTTGTTCTCTCAAGGCGGACTATGTAGTCCCACTTATTCAGACAGAAACCATTCTCAGCCCGAGGGAATTTTGTAGTGCGGCGGAATCTGAT